TGGCAGTCGGAGCCAAAGTGACAGGGCACTTGAACCCAAGTGCGGTACTCCGTCGCACTGGACCAGTACCTCCACTATGACAGAGCAGCCACAGGAGCCCTCCTCAGCGGCCCAGGCTGCAGCTCTACTACAGGTACCTAGCAGGTGCTGTTAGCGGCCGTTGGCGGGGCCCGGCGAACCCTGGCGGGAGCCTCTCGGGTGCAGGTCGCCAGTCAGCCGCCAGCAGAGCGCCGGCACGAGTCTGCCTTGTCTGCTGCAGGGCTGCATCCGCAACAGGCATGGATGGATTCAACCCGATGCTGCCCTCGGCGATGCTGTCTGGTGCTACTGGGACTAAACTACGGTATTGTACTGTACTGTTACTCCATGACTACCGGCAGAGACCGGGTCGGCATGCATCGACAGGTCCGCTGAACCCGCGCGACAGACAGGGGATCCGACGTGCCCATCTCGGCACCCGGACGAGCTCGTACTCTGAAATTCAGTTTCAGTGGTCCGGACAATGGCAGGGACGCAGCGAGATCAATGCCTGGACGCAGGTCGACGCGTTACAAGTATGTCTGCAAATGCGTGCATCTTGGACCCTCTCAAGCGAATGGGTGTCATACAGGAAGTCACAAATTCGCTCTCTTCACCTCTAGCGCTCACCGCACTCGCTCACCGCACTCGCTCTCCGTACCCTGTCCATACAATCAGCATTCCGTGTCTCTTGTTCCCGGTCAATACCGTTCGTGTAAGAGGCTGAAGCTATCGATGTGTTTGAGGTTGACGTGTGAAGGAGTCATTTCGTCCCTTGTCCCCGTGACTGACATTACATAGACCGGGCCGTACGGCATCTGCTAGACCGGTAACGGACGAAAGGCCGGCAGTCGTTGAATTCAATCTCATACGGAGTCGTCACCTGTTACGAGTATGGCGGTATGATCCAGGTCCTGGCAATGGGCAGTTAGGATCAGCTCTCCAAATCACGTACCGCCCGGCTGGATGAATCAGGCATTGTCGTCTTCTATTGGTTCCAGTCGGCCACTGCTGCAAATGGCCTCCACCACTCATGTCCCTGTCAAGTGCGATTAGCAGATGACTTACATATGGACTGCATGCATGCCCTTACCAAGGATGGATACATGTATGCGGAAAGCAGCTGGCCCGATCTCAAGGCGAGGACATACATAACAGGAACCTCGCACACCAGCTGGGCGTTGGGTGGTCTGCCAACAAGCTGATGGGATGTGGCCGGTTCCAGCGGGAGTCCCGTATTCTGCCCTCTTCGTCTCTTCGCCATGCTCGGAGCCTGTCCCATTTACACCTCCAGCAACTTCACCTGTCGCATGGGGACGAATCAGTAGCAAATTAGTAGTACCCATACCGGCTCCAGCCTTGCACCCTCAATCGACGACAGTTCCCCCTCCCTGGAACATCCCCCAAGCATTGGATCCCAAACCCAAGCTCAAACCCACCAAGGGCCCTGCTCTTTTTTCTCAATGACAACCTGAATCTGCCCGCTCAATTCCAATTCTCGCGATGGCTAGCCGGTAGCGCAGCCCATAGCGCGCCCCTTGGTGCATCGACAGCACCCGCTAGGGGCCCCCCGAACCGCTCTAGGCCGCTGTAGCCCCTCTGTAGGCCCCTCCTGTAGGCCCCTCTAGCCCGCCGCCTGTCGCCTGTTGCGTCATAGCCGCCCCTCGCCCGGATCCTCACGATGAAATGCTGCTCGCACTAGCACCTTCACGTTCCGACTACGACTAAGATATCAGCCTCAGCCTCTGCCTCAAGTTTTCGTCGCTCGCTCGCGCTGCCTCGGCCTCTGATGTGATCCTCTGCCTATTGGTGTTGTCCTGCCACTTCTGGCTTACTTCACTCGGCTCTTTTCGCACAACGCTCACTTCGACGTCGCAAGAAACAACAGTCGCAAAGGTCCGCGCATAACAACGCGAAGCCAACGAGCAAACCCTCGCTCGTCTCATTCAACACGACCAGAGCAGAGGAAAGGGAAGAGAAGAGGATACGGACGAA